GATTGGCTATCCACTTCTCGGAGATTTTCGTGAATGATCTGCAATTTGTGTAACCGATAACTGTCTCCCCTCGACTTCGGAATATCATGAATATCATGTGATAGTCCGGGCAGTTAGTAAAATCTTTCTAACAACAATAGTGATAACAATACGCTTTCTATTGATTTTTAGTAGGAAATACCAAAAACCTCGATGAGCCTCACCTGAATTTATCCAATTAGAAGAAAGTTGTTTTCGAAAGATACTTCGCCATGTCCATATCCATCTAGTTTGCTTCTTTGTATAATTCAAGCTGTACTGACACGAAGTGAATGAAGAAAGCATATAATATTTAAAGAAAACGTCGATCCGGTCATGATGAGTGTACGCATATAGGGTTGCTAACGGCTTCTTTGAGATAGACTCTAACTGCATAATGGAGCTGAGCCGATCCAAGCCAATTGAATCGTAATCAAGTTATAGCTTAGAGTTATAGCTTGAGCTGTGGACTCAAAATTATTATGTGATTAATACACGTTTCTAGTTATTAAAACTACGGCTTGAGCCATATCTGCTAAAGCCACTGTTTGAGCTATGGCTCAAGTTACGGCTCAAACCACAGTCCCAATAGTCATAGCCCAAGCTGGAGCCATGACTTTTAGGAGCCAAGCCAAGTCATCCAAGCCGATAACAACCCTATACGCATATGAAAAACAGGCATAGTCACAGTGGAATTTTTTGCATTCCTTGAGGTACGTACGTACATACGTAATTGTTTTTGATGATCGTAACCCTCTAGCGTTTCGCAATTGGAAAATGTGTACCAGGTTGGTGGCGCAGACAAACATTTTAAAATTCGTTAAGGTTAGGGTTAGGGTCAGGGTTAAGAATTAGAGGGTAGTAGTTCTAATAGTAAAATTGTCCAACGAAAACTTTTTGTTAGAGCATAAAAGGCGGGTTCTTATGCTGATTTTTGTGTTATGAGCGATTTGCAGAACGAACGTTTGTTTTGAATCTTCTTGATTGTGTTACGTTACACCTAATCTTGAATGCTGATTCGTAGATCAGAAGAACTACGTCACCCAACCTGGTACACATTTTCCGACTGCTAGCGTTTCTAGCAGCAATTTTTAATTACATAGTTATTTTATTAACTATTACGAATAAGTGTTGCACCTCATTCCCTTTTTATAAAAAACAATAATGGATATTCACGATAGAATATTGTACGTACGTATTTGTTGAATCGTCACTAATTAAGATATTACCCATTAAATAAATATTTTGTAATAATTAAAATTTAAAAGATTACTTATCAAAAAAGTAAAATTGTAAGTGTAAAGAAATGATAAATTTTTGTTTAAAAAGGCTGAAACATTACAGTAATACGTACGTACGTACATTGGAAAAACATTTATTCATTATTCTATTCATGAACTAAATTTCTTTTTCTTAGAGTTAATCATTTTTTTTAAGCCTATATGACAATATGTAACAATATACAGTACAGTACATCAATTGCTGTATACAATGAATTTCCGTAACACAATGCATATTTTAGGAAAGTTTGGCTCTTAATCGTTTTAATATGTACTTTTCTAACATCTACGTACATTGCGCCTTTGTTTACTTTATGATTGTACATAGCAAGAATGTCACGATAACAGATCAAGTGGGATTGCGGAGAGAACAATCCGAAATCAATAGTGATCGACTCTCTTAGTTTCTTTACGTTTACTACATCCGAACTAATTCGGTGTACAAAGAATCAATTGCATCGGACTTCGAGAACAAATGCAAATGTATCCTTTTCTAGGTTTGTAATATGAAAGAACAAGTTTGTAGAAATTCTAGAATCATTGTCTTACAAACATTAAATTCCATAAAGAAATAACTTTATTTTTATGTATTAAACCGTTGGTTGATTAAATATTTACGCATAGTACGTGTGACATTGTGAATTTCCACCGACATTATCTTCGCGGTGCAAAGGATAAATAACTCCGTGGAAAGAATGCATTAAATAGCCCAAGTTTCCCTGTTTGCTGAATACGTTGTCAAAGAGATCATAAGTCTTTAAATAAATTATATCGTTGCTGCGTTATTCAATAAAATAAACAACATGCAAAACCAATGTGCTAGCCGAGATATTACTTCCTCAGGAAGGTTTAGTAAATTCTTCAAGCGATTATATCGAAAAAAACCAAAATCACCTTGCCAAGCATCAGGATGTAGCAATCTTTGCTTAAAAAAGGACAAGTTTTGTAGCATTAATTGCAAATCATCCAACCTTTTACCAACTTTACCAAACACCGAAATTTCTACAGTAGAATTAACACCAACAATAACTATAACGGCAGCACAGACTGATTCCCCAGCTACATCATCTTTCTTTACTCGTATTTTGAAACATAAAAAATCGACAGAAAGTGAATTGCCAGATGATGATAATCTTTCATCTAGTGGCAAAGATAACCCAAGAAAATCTACTAAATGGATATTTCTTGCCCCAAAAACGGCAACAAATTCACAAAGCTCTATTTCTAGTGGTGCATCCGGTGACTTTAATGATTCAGCATATGAATCAGGTTTAGAAACAGATTCACCAAAAAAATCTAAAAAGAAAGATATCGAAAGGACAATAATCACAGAATTGAAAGCCGAAGATGAGGATTACGAAAAAGTCAAAACAATGTTTCAAGTTGGACTTCCTAAAAATGATATTCTTGGAATATTTCAGTTACAAATGCCTACTAAACTTTTAAATAATCACGAAGCATATAAAAACAAAATTGCTAATAGTGCAAGAACCTCAAAAGATAAAGTAACGCATAGAATGTTTCATGGCACAAAACATCCTAATAATTGTGATCCTCAACGTTTTATCAACAATCGGAAGGCTAAGTTCTGCAAATCAGGTTGTGGATTTTGTGGAATTGCACAAGAAGGAAATCAATCCAAATTTTCTAATTATAATGGCAGTAAGTATTCTCATCAACTTTTCACTTGCTAATCGCCCTGATATTGATCATCTTTTTTTGTTTCGATAGAAATGTGGTTTGCCAACAATTCGATTACTTCATTAGGTTATTGCGGAAGTCCTTTCGTAAAGACTATGTTCATCGTTGATGTAATTGCTGAGAAATATCAGGGAATACTAATAGTTAGTGATAACGCAGTAAGTATCATAAGTTATCTTAAATGGGCATCGATCTTATGTTTAAAAAAAACTCTAATCACGATACTTAAATTAGGCAACGATACCAAGATACCTTATCGTATTTAAATAATATGAAAGAGAGAAATTGTTTTGCATGTGCTGTGCGCAGCAACGATATTTTACTTTTTCCTTAATATATGGGATCTTTTCTAAGAAAATTATGTTGTAATTACTGTATATGATTTACATTATTATCTTAGTGGCATTTTCTTAAAAAAGATCTTATATATTAATATCATATCCCTAACGTTTATTTAAATCGAAGATTATTCTGTGATATTATTTAAAGACATTATGATTGAGATTACTCAAGGACGTTAAGACGTTCTCATAAACATTATTCAAAGACACTATTCAACTTAGAAGACAATTAATGAATTTGTCATTCTAAATCAACTTTTAATTTATATATAATAATAATAAATATTTAGAATTCTAATTAGAATTCTAACATTGTTAAACAATAACTGGGAGGTTTCTAGAAAAAATTCGTAAAACCACAAAATAACGACGGTAGGTGCTCAAAATAACATGCATGTGTTATTTTGCGGATTTAGTTCCAAAAGTTGATTACTAAATTAATGTATAAGATAGATTAACGTCTTCTTGGCTTTTGTCTTCGAAATGTGAATATTTATATGTGAATATTTATTACAACTAATCTTAGATGTTGATTAGGGTTCATATTTTATAACACGTGCAATACGAGTTCGAGCTTGTTAAAAATTTGATAATTGATATGGTTCAATATCCAGTTAATCGAATTTCAAAAGAATTTTTGATTTATTGCTTGGATTCAGTTAGTGTTACAAATCTGCAAAATTTTTTCAATCGATTAGTTGGTTAATTATTTTTCCAGTTGGTTGAGTTGCAACTAATCGATTATTCGATTAATCGATTAGTTGCAACTAATTCACTAAGTAAATAAATAATTTTTCAGTCGATTCATTTGCAACAATCGATTAATTCTTTAGTCAATTAGTTGCAACTAATCGACTAGTTGATTAATCGATTAATCGATTAGTTGGTGTCTAAAAAGTTCAACCGATTAATTGTCAACTAACCAACTAATCGATTTTTTCAACTAACACTAGTTCAGTTTGCAAAATCCGGTTAATTCTATATACAGTAAAAGACAGACACTCTCTTTTAATCTGAAATTTTACTTTTTTCAATTTTGGATATTCTATATTTGTGTTGCCCCCGACAAGCTAACAGAATGTGCAAGTTGTTTTTAAATTTAACATATTTGTGTAAAACGAGTGCTTCATTATTTTACGTGATTTCCGGTTTTGTCGTGTATGAAATGATCTGATTATGTATATCTAAATATATACAGTAATATTGCAGCAAGAGTATTGGACCTTAGACTATTACAACAGAAGATAGGTTTTTTTGTTTTAACGAATTCATCTTGCAAAACGTTTAATTCACTTTATGTAATTAAATATGTATCCCTCATTATTTGATAGTCCTAATGTTATCTTATCCAAATTACATATGGGCTAGGTGCTAAATGACAAAAAAAAAAAGATCTTCGAAAAATCAATTTTTATAATATTAATCTTATAATAAATCTTAAGAAAATACAAACTTTAAAGAGCTATACTGCAAAATTTTATTTATTCTAAATTAATTTATAAAAAAAAAATCTTTTGAAAAAATTATCATTTTCAGCCCTTTTTCCAGCGCCTAGTCCATATCAACATGAATCTAAGACTATTCTTATCATAGAATATACCGTAGTTGGAAAGTGGTGTACAATCGAGCTACGATCAATGATATTTTCAGCATTCCAATATGTCGTTCAGAACTTCTTCCAATTTATTACATGTAATAACAAATTTGGTGTGATCGATCACCATTTCTATAAGTATATTCATTTACTGATGAAACTTCATAATACACAAATAAAATAAACATGTATATCATAAACTGGGTTAGAAACACATAAAAGAATAAATATCTTTATAAATCCGGATGTCAATAAAGATATCCGATTAGATTTCTGGATCCAAGTATTACTAATTCATTGAATGTAACGTATAATCAACAAGAAATGAATCGGTAATCATTCGCTCCAACCGTTGATAGTGTCTTTCCGTATAAGGCAACAAACCATCTAGTAACTAAATTGTAATGATATAAATGTTCCGTCAATATATATAATAAATTCAACTTTCAGTAAATAAATAATAATCTGATAGTAAGTAAACACCTCTTTTATGCCGTTAATTTCTAATAATTCATCAGATGAAAATGTTTTTAAGATAGCATGTAATATCGTTTGTGCTGTTCGAAAATACTTGGCATTGGTGTTCCAATCACGGATGTATATAAGCATCTTTTCAATATCTTCTTTTGAAAGAGTAGCAATAATTTTATCAATAGATTCAGATCCTGTAATGCTAGTATCTCCTACAAAAATTAAAATTACGCATAAACAATAATAAAACAATAACAAATAATTGTATTTGAGAAAAAGATTGATAATAACCTTCAGCTCGGTTGTCTAGTATTTCTGTAAAAAGATTCAGTAACCTAAATGGTTGATTCAAAGACATGGCAAGACTAATTGCATTTTTATAATCCTTCTTCAACAAATAATTTGCCAAATCTTGTTCTCTAAATGCCGTAAAAATAATTCAGAAAGTAAATATTGTAATATTCACCGATGATGGAATAAATAAAGTAAATTATTTTGATTGCATTAGTTACTTTAAAATTTGCTCCTCTTCTTCTCTCACACGTTTTTCCATTTCTTCGATGGTGCAATCCTCCCACAAATTTATCAAAGAATCAGCACCACCTGACACGACTACATTTTCGTCCTTGCGTACCGTCAATGCCCATATTTTTTCAGTATGATTGTCCAATGTAGTAATACATTCATTGGACTTAATTGTCCAAAGTTTGAGAAGACCGTCTGAACCACAAGATATTAATTGAGTTCCAGATGTCAGGAATGAAGCTTTCAAGACAGTATTGGTATGTCCTTCGAAGGTCTAACAAATAATTCAACAATAAGTATAAAAAAATAAATAAGAATACATTAATTAACCTGAACAATTATCTGCGATTATACCTTTAAGCAAGAAAAGTCTGTTGTTGACCAAATTTTGATGGTTTTATCTCCAGAGCTTGTTGCTATAGTTTGATCAACTGGTGAAAACTGGACAGACCAGACACCACGTTTGTGTCCAGAACAAGTGCCAAGTAATTTTCCGTCAGCGATAGACCATATCTTAACACTTTTATCTTGTGAGCCAGTGGCAAAAATCTTATCGTTTGGTGCAACTGCTATTGAGTTGATGTCCTTATCATGCGCTTTATTTGTGTATAGGGCTTTTGGTCTAAAATTTTCATCAGACCTAGACCGGTCTAAATTAGAAAAGACAATATTTAAATGAATTATAGGCTTGAAAGATTAGCTCTAATTTAAATGAAATTATAGGCTTGAAAGATTAGCTCTAATTAACATTATTGTACTCACCTAAATGCGACAAGTCCCAATATTTTATGGTACGATCCTGACTACCAGTGAGGCAAAACTTTAAAGATTTCTTTGAAAAAGCTACAGTCCCAATTGCTGCAGTGTGACCTATACATACACCTAAACAATTGACTTGGTTGTCAAAATTTTCATTATCCACATCGATACTCCATATTCTTGCCGTGTGATCTTTAGAACCGGATATCAATACAGTTCCATCATATGATTTGTCAAGGCAAATAACAATGTCAGTATGGCCATATATAATATTAAAATCAAAAGATTTAATATTATATAAATTTATTTGCTCTGTATTGGTAGCAATAGCAATGTGTGTTTCATCTTTTCCAACATATGCAAGGTCAATAACTTCTTCATTATATCCGACAATTTGCTTCACACGCTTAAGACCAGAGGTAATTTGGTAAAATAGAATATTTTGATTACTGGTGATAGCAGTCAAAACATTACTTTTACGGAGATATCTACCAAGTTGGAGCATATTAAATAAAATTAAAATTAATTGTAAATATAATACAAAACTCGAAGA